ATAACTATCTGTATATAAAAACAATCGAAGTCTATGTAATGTCCCCATTTAGATAGCTAAGTAAACGCGTGTGTTTACAGTTCATCATATTCAAGATATGTGTGTGTAACATAGTATATCCGTCTGGAGAGTAAACAAAAAAATTCACTAGCCAATGGCAATTATATTGCCAAGGTGTGCGTAGAGGGTTGATATATATATATATATATATATATAAATATAAATAACTACATCATATGAAATAAATATAAAACAAAAACTCATTAGGGCAAAAATGCCTGTGTATATCTTGAATATGATGAACTGGGTTACTAAACTAAACTAAACTCACCCGGAGCTGATCCAGTCTAGCGCTCATTCCCTCAGGAACGCTCTGCTGCCAAACCTCCTGGAACTCTGACAGATTGAACTTCACAGCGTTTTGCAAGAGCAGCTGAGCTGTGGCTCTACATACTTTGTCCTCATCCAGTGCATATATCACCTGTCCATCTAAAAGGAATGTATAAATACGAACATGTGAATGGGGAAAAAAAAAAAAAACAGGGTCCTTTATCCATCAAATTTATAATGCACAGTGATTATAAAAAAAACTAACCTTCATTACTGTAGCGTCTTCCGTAACAGTTCAGACAGTGTTCTATCATGGCTCTGATTAAAGAACAAGTCAAATGTAGAGCGTTAAAAAAAAAGAAAAAAAGCTTTTTTCGATGATCTGCTGTTTTCTCTATTCATAATTCTCTAATATTTCATCATAACTCACTTTGGCTCAAGGGATCCTAGTTCTTCCAGACAAACACTGAGAGGAACTTTGCTGAAAGACCAAGACTCTGAGTCCACCAGCTGGGTCACATGACCCAGGAGCTTCATCTCATAATCAAAAGCCAGGATCCTCCAAAATCCTACAAACACAGGTCTGAGTTTAAAGGGTTAGTTCACCCAAAAATGAAAATTCTGTCATTAATTACTCACCCTCATGTCGTTTCAAACCCGTAAGACCTTTGTTCATCTTCGGAACACAAATTAAGATATTTTTGATGGAATCTGAGAGCTGTCTGACCCTGCATAGACAGCAATACAACTGAAATGTTCCCAAGTCCAGAAACGTAGCAAGGAGATCTGTAAAATAATCCATGTGACATCAGTGGTTCAACCTGATGGACTTGGGAACATTTCAGTTGTATTGCTGTCTATGCAGGGTCAGACAGCTCTCAGATTCCATCAAAAATATCTTAATTTGTGTTCCGAAGATGAACGAAGGTCTTACGGGTTTGAAACGACATGAGGGCGAGTAATTAATGACAGAATTGTCATTTTTGGGTGAACTATCCCTTTAACAACTCCCTTCACCTATAGTGAAGACATTATCCTCATAATAGAGGAAGATGCCCTCCTTATTAATATTATGCATTTACTGATCATTTGAAATACATTTAGAGAATTTTGCATTAACTTGATCTTCCAATATATTCTAAACTAAAGTTGAATAAACTGAAACATTTGCTAATTTAGTTATACAACAAAACTGAAAATGATGAAACTACTCGCTACTAATTCTTCAGTAAAAAATGTCTGATTTCAACAGAATCTGTTGTACAGAAGTACATCTGAAATAATTTCAGTAATTTTGTATTTATTGTATTAACTTTTGTCAACTATATTTATTAATGGAAAATTGTACATCAGATTATAAAAATAATTATATACAATACAATAATTGTATGATGGACAGTAAAGAAGTTTAAAATGTAAGTTCATTATTAAACAGTAACTGTTTTTATTATTAAATATTAACTCTAGAATTGTAAAATATAAAAACTTTAAAATAATTACTAGATTAAATAATAGTAATATTAATAATAACAATAACATCCAGAAACAACAATTCTGTAGGACCCATCTGCCCCAATTCTAAGAATCCCCCACAAATTTAAATTAATTTCTGAATCGACAAATTCCCCAAATGTTTTTACATCCAATACATATCTTCAAAAACATAGAGAATAATACATTGTTTTAGGGGTCACTCTTCCAAATATTTTATTTATACATTTAAAAAAAAAAAACCCATAACATTAGCTCACCGTCAATTTCACAAGCATGGACATTTTGAAGATGCGCCTCGATTTCTTCTCTGCTTGCTTGTATTCTTTCAAGAAGGTCATCCATAGTGTACTAACAAATGAAAAATAAAAACAAAAACATCTGATGTGACTTTTGGACAAGATGAATAAGCTCAATTAAAATTTTCAAAGCTTTTAAAAAGTACACGTATTGGTAATTAAATAAAGTAAACGTAGACCCAACACACCAAAATCGCACATACTTTGAGTACAGGGCAGGCTAACTCTTTCTAAACAGCAGTGGTATACCTTCGGTCCTGGCGCCTCCTCCTGCATGCCCACCGCTGGACCATCATATGGATTCTCCATGAGAAGTTTCTTCAGCTTCTTTAACCTTGGCCTCTGCCTTCTCAGCTCCCAGTAACAATTTGAAAAACCCCAAATCTGGAAAATAAAAATATTATTTGACAATGCACATAATCAGCATTAAACTATCCATCAATAAAGGATAAAATCTCATCTTCAGGTACGACTTCTCCAGTGACCTGTACATGCAGGAGTTGAGGAGACGCTGAGATGTCAGGCAGCTGATCTGGAGTTTTACATCCTGGTACAAACAGCAGCAGATTTGACGTGTCTGCAATTTTCAAGTCGTACGTCTTGTCTTCATTGCACAGAACTGCACGCTCGTCTTTATCACCTCTGATTATTAGACTAATGAAAAACACAGACATCACGATGAATGATTCCAAAAGATCATGCACTACAACATTGTATTTAAACAATTGCAATTCATTTCTGGCTAAATTAATACTGAGATGGTAAGTTGTTCTTTCAGCTTAAATGAAAGTAATAATAACTACCTCTTGCCTGCTTCAATGAGTTTGCAAAGTGTATCATCCAGCTCCATGAGACAGTAATCGCCCGACGATACATTGTCTCCGAAAGAAAGACAGTAAGTGACGGGCTGCAGGTCTTCTTCTTTTACTTTAGCGATTTGTAGTGTGGCTTGAACCTCTTCTAATGTCCTCATGCTGTCAAAATGTGTTTTATCCAAGTCGACTCAACATAAAGGCTTGTGCTGTTGTCAGCGCTCAACTTTCCCGCAATATTTTGGCCGGAAGATAAGGTTGATTGACAGTAGTAAGAGCCAATGAACGTTACGCTGTTGTAATCATAGACATAATACATACCTAGACGCCTCATTGGCCGCTTTGAGCCGTTGCTGCGATACGTCAACGCGTCCGCCATGTTTGTGAAGGCAAGACTGCCTTAAAAATAAATGGAGGTAAACGGCGGAGCTGCGTTTTTTTCTGGATAAAAACACGATAACGTTTACATTTATCAACCGATTTCAGAGGTTTGTGATCTACATGGAGTTAAAAATAACTCTGCCTCCAGTTATTTAGTTAGGTTTGGAAAATTATTAATTTTCGTAAGAAATTGTGAAAACTCACACTTGTCTCACTTGTTGATTTGATTGATTTTTTCGGTTTACAATTCTAATGTTAATGTAGTATAACTGTGACATATACATGTTTTGTAATTTGAATGTACATTAAGTGAAATTAAGTTGTTTCATTGCTTTCTCTGTCTTCAACCCCAACATTTGAGCTTTTATTGTGCTTCAGGTCAGAACAAAGCTCATTCCCTTTGAAATACTGGAAGAAAATCAAAAGAATACATCTTTAAGCACTAATAATTTACCATCATTGAGAAAATTGAATAAAACCAGCGAATACAAATCAAAAAGTGACACTTGGTAGTCTGCTTTTTATTTTGATAGCACTCTATACAGATAATTATTATGTCTATGGTTGTAATAGTGTGTAAACGTTACTTGTCCACTAGATGGCGCTTCATGGCACGATTTCATTTACTGGCCTGTTCTTTTCTGTTATTGTTTTGATGCCCACAAAAATGTGCAGTGCCATTGAACACTAGCTCTACACAGTATCATGTCCCCAAAAGGCGTGTCTGTTTTCTTAATACATACTGTCCCATATTTTATCTCAAGAATGTTGTCCTTAGTAAACGTACGCTTACTTTAGAAAAGCTTCAATTGGGCAAAATCGTTTGTTGTGGTGGACATGACACCACAGCTGTGGACTGTTTGTAATTTTTAATAATAAAATAAAAGAAAATAAATAAATAAACAAATAAGTAATTAAGCACGTAAATAAATAAAATCACACATAAATAATCACAATAAACATGCAATATATTAAAATGGTTTATGCTTATCTCACTCTCACTTTTCATATTTAAAAAAGAATAATTTATATTCTTATTTTTATATAAATAATTGTAGATTTTTAGATTTCAGAATTGAAAAAAGTTCTGTGACGATAAAATGTATACTAATACATTTTAAATAAATAAAAATAATTTATTTTATTTTTATTGTTAATTGTATTTCTTATGCATCTGTTAACTGTTTTATGATTATTTTAAAATCGGAAAAAAAAATCCTTATTTTAAATGCTAAAATAAGCATTTGGAATGACCACTGTGTATGAAATGTGCCATATAAAATTAATTTATATTTATTAATATATATATGTATGTATATATTTAATTTTTAATGTCTTTCATATAACACAACGTAAAATGTTTAAACCCATGTTTTGAAGAAACATCAGCATATTTTGTTGAATTTTAATCTTAGATAAAAACGGGTTTTGCTGGGTGTTTAAAGTGAGTATTTGGGAGTACAGTAATGGGCTCCAGGCTCCGCCCCCTATGAGGATGGTCAAGTTGACTCGCCCTGCAACATGGGCAGTAACGTGCTTTCAGGGAGGATATAGTAAACAATTCACAATATCATGAAGAAAGCGAATCGTCCCGAGTCTGTCTTCAGGAATAATCTGCTGTTTGAAGCTTCGGTGTGATTTATTGCAAGGCTTTGCGGTTTATGCATTTAAACACATGTAACTTACTGATGTACTGATGATGACTGAGGGCACTTGATGGCACACAAAAGACACAAGTTATTTCGAGTCGTTTTGAGCTGTGATCAACTGAACAGTGATGCTCTGTAAGTGACATCGCTGCTATTCCTCTGCAAACATCATTTCGGATCAGTCTGACGTTTCTGCATCGAAACAAATAAGGTAAACAATGTTTTCTCCCTGCGTGTTTATTTTGATGTTCTTACATCATGGAGACTGATTTGAATCTTTCGGATGACATTTTGCATGTGTAAAACCACTTAACATGCCGTTGTGTTGTTTTCACTCATTTCATTCAACTGGGCACGTCTTCTACCTCAAATATTAATGCTGTCATAACAGTCATCACGCCTATCCCGATCTGCCATTTGAGAGGCGGGCGTGTTCAATACACCCAATACAAACTCAAGCACGCTGTGCGTGTCAGTTCATTTCACAAACAGAGCTTTTTTCTCCCCCGAACGCTGATTTGTCACATTTGCGTGTATGATTTCATATTCAGCTGGGCTGTCAGAGATGGACGGCATCGGGAACACCATGCAGAAGAAGGCTGCTGAGCTGGAGCGCATGGCCGAAGTCCTCGTTACAGGAGAACAATTACGGTAGGTGTGGCTTCTTGACACCCCAATTTCACCGACGCGACGCGTCAAAACCAGAACGCTCCTATTTAAATGAATGAAACTGCAAGCGCGACGTCGCTAAGTTTGTCGCGTCGCTATCAGTAGATCTCTTTAAATGTGTCACTGCGGCTATTTAAACAATGAATCCAGAATAGAGTGTCATGTGTACACTTTACTCCTTTATTACACATTTGGGATTGAAATATAGTAGGTTTAGTACATAAAGACCGGCGTTTGGCACACCTATTTGTGACCTTGGACCACAAAACCAGTCATCATAATTTTATACATCATCTGAAAGCTGAATAAATAAGCTTTCCATTGATTTATGATTTGTGAGGATAGGACAATATTAGGCTGAGATACAACTATTTGAAAATCTGGAATCTGAGGGTGCAAAATAAAATCAAAATATTGAGAAAATCGCCTTTAAAGTTGTCCAAATCAAGTTCTTAGCAAAGCATATTACTATTCAAAAATTAAGTTTTGATATATTTATGGTAGGAAATTTACAAAATATCTTCATGGAACATGATCTTTACTTAATATCCTAATGATTTTTGGCATAAAAGAAAAATCGATCATTTTGACCCATACAATACAATTGTTGTTACAATTTGTTGGCTATTGCTACAAATAAACCCGTGCTACTTATGACTGGTTTTGTGGTCCAGGGTCACATTTATTTGTCATTACACAATTTTTCCTTTTTATTTTTTTATCTTTTAAGTCATGAAATTAAAATTCACCCAGTTTATTTTGTAAATTCATGATATAGATTGTAAATTATTCATATATGTAAAAATTTGATTAAGGATTCTGACATTCATTTTTAAAAATACTAATGTGCACGGATAAATAATTTATAATAAACACTGCACTTCTTCCCGGTGGCATGTGACGGACTTCTTCAGTCATTTAGATGGTTCAACCAAAAATGAACATTTTTGATTTTTGAAAAAAAAAGATATTTTGAAGAATGTTGGTAACCAAACAGTTGCCAGTAGCCATTGACTTCTAGTATGGAAAAAAATATGGAAGTCAATGGCTACCAACAACTGTTTGATTACCTGCATTCTTCAAAATATATATTTTGTGTGTGTGTGTTCAACAGAAGAAAGAAATTCATACAGGTCTAGAACAAAATGAGAGTAAGTAAATGATGACAAAATTTTCATTTTTGGGTCAACTATTCCTTTAAGATAAATACAGAGCAAAATTACTGGGCCATCAGCCTGAGAGCATCTCTGTGACCCTACATAGGACAAACAGTTTGGAAAATGAATGGATGGGGATAGTAGACATGTTTTTCTTTGTTAAAGTCTTGGTTTATTCATAAAGTACACAAAAGACACCCATTTAATGGAATGACCTCTATAAATCTGCTGGGGACAGTCTTGTATTCCATTGAAAAAATATATTTTTGTTTGCAGTTGATCACAACCATGGTGAATTTTTGTGCATTATGTGACTGATTGTGGAACATGCTTGTGCCTCTGTCCTTTTCCAGACAGCTGTTCTGTTCGCAGTGAACTGTGACAGTGATAGTGAATGAAGCAGAAAGGTGTTTAGTCAATACATCTGATTAATGATTGCAGAATCCCAGTATAGGACGCAGTAGTTTTTTTTTTCTTTTTTCTTTTCAGAATTTCACATTAACACTTATTATTTAAACCTTATTTATGAGCTGTTTTATTGTGTCTTGTACAGGATTTCACATTCAGTGTCCTGCATGTGCTTTAGTTTCAGGTGTGTATAATAATAATAATGTTAAGGGATCTCTAACAGACCCCCTGGAGGTAAAGACATAATTTGGTGGGTGAGAGAAAGCTTTTATTTCCTAGATGTGTGGGAATATCAGTATCACAGGACTGGTTCTGTTGTTGTAGGTCACAGTGAACCAGTTTTATCTCTCGATTGCTGGTATCACTTCCACCTTGCTATGTAAAGCTGACTCAGGTTTGTATAATCAGTAATCAGGCGGTGACAGCAGGCCCACATTCTACCCGGTCCCAGCTCAGGTGTGCTTGATTCAGGTGTCGGGCCATCAGGTTAGCTCTGCCCTATCTAGGTTTGTTGTTCATAGTCAAAACAGAATTGAGTTCAGCTTGCGGACAGGTTTACATGAGAATACAATAGAGGGTTTTTATCTGGAGAGGCAGTGACATAACAATCAGAAGTATTACAAAAAAATAAATAGATTGAACTATAAGATAAAATAGTGAAAAAACACTTATTTATTGTGGAGTAACATTGTCCAACAGCATATAAAGTTTATCACTCTCTTTGGTCACATCTATACAGAGTTATTATTGTAGTTTTATTTTTATTTTATTTTCAGTTTAGTTTAGTTTTCATTGGTTTTCACTGTATTGCTGTTTGGTTTAGTTTAATTATGTTTTAGTATTTTAGGGCTACCAAAATACTAATATAAAATTGCTCATTAGAAATGTATTCTTAATTAATTTAAAATAAATGTAATGGTATAATTGAAAATTTCTCAACAGTCCAGTGTTTTTATGGCATTTTAATTATTAATGCAGGCGAGGTGTAAAGGCAGCTTCACATTAAGAATGATAAATATGAAGATAGCAATAACTATATCAGTATCCATGCCAACACAATTCTTCTGTTTACTATAAGCGCATGCTACAGTTCTGTCGCCTGCCACTGTAAATGCTCAAGCTCTTTAAAGCACGATAGATTCTGATTGGCTGTTGAATATTTTTATAACGATATTGTTCCTCTGTGTCATTATGGTTAGTCGTGGTGTGGACTGTTTTTTAATTTAGAGCAATTTTGAAAACTATATATTTATTCTTATAGTTATCTGCCTTGGTGTGAACGGGCCTTAAATTTATCAAGTTTTATAGTATATCGTGTCAAAAACTAAAATGAATTTGGGACCATTTTTGTTTTATTTTAGTTAGCATTGCAATCATGAATATCTATTTTAGTTTAGATTCCATTTAGATTCCAAGTTATGTTAGTCTTTATTTTTATTTCAGTTTTTATGTTTTATTTTCATTCATGATAATAACGCTGCATTCCAATCAAATTAAATTGATATGACTTCATATAAAACATGAAATGATAATTAATTTGAACCAATTAGTCCATTGGTTCCACATGACTGCAAACCACATACATATTAATTTGCTTCCTCATTTTAGTCGTCCCCCACATACCACTGGAATACACCAGGCGTAGCTGACATTTCACTCAGGCTATCATATGGTAATGTTGTACCACATGTCTCCCATTGCTCTATTGTTCGGTGTCAAAAAGTGCCAAAGTGCACTTTAATGGTAGCTGCACACTGCTACAGTCATGTGAGGCTTTGTTCAGTCACTTGTCAGCCCTGTGCCGTTGCGTCAACTGCTGCATGACTGCTTGTTGCTGATAATATAATTCAGAATATGTAGCTATCAGTGTTAGGACAAGATATGATGGTCACAGTTATGGGGTGCGTAAGCTTTGCCTGCACACTTTGAGCACTTTTTATGGCTTATTGTAGTTTCTGTTCTTGTGGTTGTGAACAAATTGTTTCTACAACTCTTAAAGAGACAGTTCACCACAAATGAAAGTTCTGTCATTATCTACTTATCCTCATGTTGTTCCAAAGCTGTATGACTCTCTTTCTTGTTCAGAACACAAAAGAAGATAATTTGAACTGTTTTTGTCTATGTAATGAAAGTCAGTGGGGTTGAAAACATTTCGGACCCCTTTGACTTTCATTGTATGGACCAAAATTGTTCTTATGTATGTGATTGACAGAAGAAAGTAAGTCTTTGTTTGAAATGACAGGAGGTTGAAAAAATGATGACAAATTTTTCTTTTTTGTTCGAAAAAAAAAAAAAAAAGTGGAGGTGTGCTGTTCTATGAAGAGAAGAAATGAAAGTGACCAAGGTCTGTCCTGGTTGTCATAAATTCCTTAATCTAAGACAGAGGATTAAGTGAAAGGTGCAGTAAAACTATTGCATAAGTTTAGATGACATAATAAAGATGAATACAATTAGACAAATCCAATCCAATTATGATAATAACCAAAGACATAATAGACAAAAGCCACATGTTGGATCTTGAATTTTCACAAACTCAAGGTTAGTCTAAACACATTACACATTTGAGGTGAGGTGAAGTGAAATATGAATTTCCATTTTATAATTGTCTCATTCTATGTCAGTTGTAGGTTTTCCTATCTGGAACTTTTCTACTTTTTAAAAGACAAATCAGAAAGCTATTTTAGGCTGGATCTCCATGGATTGACCCAGGAAAGATAAAGCTCTGTAAATGTAGGTATGGAGGTCAGTTTTAAAAAGTGTGTCGGGAAGTTACAGGTTTTGTATTGCTGGTTATTTAATGCTGGTGGCTGATTGGAGATTTCACACCAAAATGTGGCAAGATGGTGGTTGCTCTGATTTATTTCCTGTTTTCCAGGCTACGGCTCCATGAATCTAAGGTAATTAAAGACAGGAGGCATCATCTCCGCACCTATCCGAATTGCTTTGTGGCCAAGGAGATCGTTGATTGGCTAATTGAGCACAAAGAAGCATCTGACAGAGATACTTCCATCAAGATCATGCAGAAACTTCTTGACCAGAGCATCATTCACCACGGTGGGTTTGTCCACCACATACTGTATTTGAATTCCTAGATTTGTATTCCACTATATTAAAGGGAATGTTCACCGGAAAATGAACATTATGTCAATATTTACTCATGTTATTATACAAACCTGTATAAAGATGATCCTGGCTGCTGTTTTCCATGCAATGAAAGTGAATGGGGACTGAGGCTATTGAGCTCCAAAAAATGAAAAAAAAAAATCTCTGTAAAAGTATCATAAAAGTGGTCCATTAGAATTGTGCACTGCATTATAAGTGTTCTGAAGCTGTTCAATAGCTATGTTGATGAACAGACCGAAATGTAAGTCATTCTTCACATCATTTGGCTACAATGTACCAGTTTTGTCCATTTTTGAGCTTTGGCCAAGGGGGAAGGTCAATGAATACCAGCTTAAATTTCCATCATTATTAGAGTTTCAAAGTCATATTGACCGCTTTTAGGATATTTTTAGGGTATTTGTTGTTCTCATTTTGGAGACTATACAGGCCAAGTCCCCATTCACTTTCATTATATGGAAAAGAACAGCAAGGATAAATGATAACAGAATTTTCATTTTTGAGTTAATTTTATGTGCAAAAGTTAGACAAAACATGATCTCTGTTACACTGTCGATGAAGCCAGTTTGATCTTTAAACCCTTGCTTGTAGCAGTGTGTATTGTTAACTTTTCAGCTGCACTTAACTTACAACAAACCTGTTTTGAATCTGTTTGTCCTCACAGTTTGTGATGAGCACAAGGAGTTCAAAGATATGAAGCTGTTCTACCGTTTCAGGAAGGATGATGGAACCTTTCCACTGGACAGCGAAGCCAAAGTTTTTATGAGAGGCCAGCGGATATATGAGAAGTAAGCGCTTTCATACATGATTCAAATTCTGAGAGGTTATTGAATTATTAATAGTTTACTATTTGTTCTGATGTCCATTTGTTAAACATTAACATTATCATGTTTTTCCTCTGCTTCTTATTCATTATTGAGGTAGAGGTTGTTAAAGACCAAGCAAGGTAGTTTCCTTTCTACTCTTCCTCTCTAGGATGTGATTGTGTTGTTGTTCATGTGTGACACAAGTCTGTACATATTGATTTTGAGCATTTGGAGTCTGTCCGGTAAATGAACAGTGTCCATAGAAACACAGGTTTCAAGCAGATCAAGCATGCTGTGTTCCAGCTGGTTACATTTAGAAGGAGCTGCTTAACCTGCAAGTTGTTGCTTTGCTGATGTAGCTCAGCTCAAAACCACACTCTCTATATGTTTACTGTAAAGTGGGAAAATACTTCCTTTTGGTTTACTGTTTACTGCACTTTTTTTTTTTTTAAGTTGATTTAATATTCATTTTATTTTATTAGTTTTCGAGTCTTGGTTTTGTCTTGAACTTTCCTTGTCTTGACCTAAGTATTTTTTTTTTTTTATATATATATATTGTAATAATTTTTAACATGTTATGTACACTGAAAAAATTGGTGGTAAAACAGTTTTCATTCACAAATTGCTTTAAATATTATAAATAGTTGCCAAAAAAATGGCAAATAACACATTGAATTAAACATGACATTTTGAGGTGGAAAAAAGGAAATAGTATTTTATTGTAACACATACTCCAATAATCTTTGTTATATTTACAACCTCAATTTTTTTACGCTGTACTGTTATCCACTGCTGTACATGACTCAACAGTTAAACAGTTATTTGTTTTAATTACAATTATTTAATAGAAAGTAGCAAATAGACAAGGTGATCTAGTCATTTCTAAATTAAATTAATTTCTAGTAATTTAGTCATTCGTAACCTATGTAAGTAATAAGTAATTCCTCAAGGATAAGGAGGAACGTCGTAATATTTATTTTGTAAATATAGAAGCTGCATTTTATACAGTTTTTTTTTTTTGGTCGGATCTTAAAAAAACTTGTTGAGAATCTCAGTCCTAGGGAACATTATTCTGGTTCTGCTTTGTCATGATTGGATTGTGCAATGTTACCTAGATTTTAATAAAACTGATCAAGGGGGTCCTGACATTAAAAAAAAAAAGGTCATTATGTTTTAAAATGACATTTGTTAGACATGTAAAATAACTTCTATTTAACCACTATTGAAGGTTTCTTTGAAAGATGATTATAATATCAGTTCATTTCAGGTCTTAATTTCACTTTGCAATGGATAAAACACAAGGCAAGTGCTTTTTTGGTTGCATCATGTAGTGAAATATTAAAGTAGTGAACTGTTGAAGCAAGGTTAATCTGAGCCATGAATGGTTTACCCATCTTGCAATAGCAGCTTGTGTTTGTTCTGCGATTATGTCCAGGATGAGGTCGAGGTAGCAGCATGCGGTCTCTCTGTCCTGCTGCACTGTAGACGTTCCTCTGCGGGCCGTCCTGCTCTTGCATACCAGGAAGATGAAGTCCAGTGGGAGACATCTGTCACACAGACCACCAGTGTGCTTTTATGTAATCACCATGGACACATTTGTGTTGCAGTCAGTATTTGTAGACTTTGCTCTTAGGGAAGCTTGTTTGGTTCGCTTCTCATTATTGCTGAAGAGCTCAGTCTGCTGATGGAGCATACATATAAAATGTTTTTCAGAGTATATGGAGTACTCTGTCTAATTATGGGTCTAGAACTACATAGGAAAATGGCCAGGAATGTTTTGTGATCTGTTTCTAAGTGACCGTGATTAGCCTTTGTCAACTACCTTTGTATTTTTTATGCCTTCCTGGTGTTTTAAAAGGATTGTTTGCCAGTGTACTTAGTATATCTATACTGTGGGCTTGGGTCACTAAAGCCACATTTTAAAATGAGGCGTATGGTCCCTTAAATATCTTCAAGAACTTCCTGATTCGATGTTTATTCAGATTGTTCCCTTTTGTCCTAATGGAGGTTTTATGTTGTAATAGATGTTGAAAATATCTATTAGCATCTGAATCCCTTTACTCCTAGATGTCCACCTAGAATTCCACTACTGTAGAAATGCATGCTGAAAGAATAAAAAACAAAGAATGCCTGTATTTACTCTTTTTATAGGGTTAATAGTGCTTGAGGGAACTCCTGAAAAGCACATCCACTGTCCACTTCCACTTTAACCATCAGTTCAGATTTTAACTTGCTGTGGCAATATTTTACCTGGCTCTACCCTTTAAAATGATACATGTTTACATGTTGTCTTTCAGCAACTTACTTGAATGATGAAAAAAAATGATTAATGAATATTAATTTTATATCGTTTCTTTTAATTTTTATTATATTATAAAATAATTTATTATATTATGTTTTAACATTATATATTACATGAAACATTTTCAGGTAAATGTAATATATGATAAAGATTATTCAGTGTGTTGTAACATTTTTTAAATATTTTACAGTTGTAAAAATCTCAGCAACATCTGGATAAATATTGTTCCCTTTCAGTCGATCACTCCCGGGTCACGTCGGTGACCGACGAATTGGGATCTCGCTTCGAGAGACCAATCTACTTTGAGTGTAAACTAAACGAGCCAATGCACATTGGCAATGTGATGATTGCATCCAGCTGCCGCTGATGACAGCGAGAGCATAAATAGGCAGCAGGTGCAACACATACCAGCTTTTCGCTTTGGAGCCGATCGACAACATCGTTCTGCTCCGGCAAAAATAGCTTTGTGTGTGACGAGTTCAACGTGCTCTAAGGGAGCTTTTGTGTTGGCGGATGGCGTTTCAGCAGTGGTCGTTCCTGTGTCGAGTGGGTTGCACACTTCAGGCTGCATTACCTCCTGTTGTGCTGCAAGCGGCCATCTCCCCTGTGCGCCTCAGCACCTAGAACAGCATTTCCCTGAAAGAGCTTATTTTCCTTAAAGAGCTACACGGTGCGTCTTTGTAAAGACGACGGATCATCTTTTTGAAGATGCCGTTTCACCCGTGCGTTTCTGGATGCGGTCGTTACCAGGCGCCGGGTGATGGTCATGATCGCTGGCTCACGTGTCTGGGCGTTAAGCACGCTGAGGTGGAGTTCGTGGATGAGTCATGTTCCCATTGCGGGAAGATGACCATCTGCGGACCAGTCTCCGTTACCTCCAGAGGGGCGGAGTTCCGTTGCCTCTGCCTCGATCTAGCTCTCGTCCTGGCAGCAGCCAGATGAGGACTACTTCAGGCAGTAGCACGGGCGGTCTGAGGGTTACAGTGGTGGAAAACCCTCCAGGGAACCAACTCTCGGGGGACCATCGCTCCTCTTGCGCTCCGCAACCAGTCGGGCTGCCAAAAGAACGCGCTGGGCCCTTTTCAAAGAGCATACCAGTGGTATCCTTCGGCCGGATGTCGATCACTGCATCGGAGGGGGAGCTTTCTGGAGAGGAAGATTCAGCTGCGCTGCCGCCCTCCGGGGCGGTAGCATGGCCTGAATCGGTTTTACAGCAGCCCCTACTTCATTGTACCCAAGAAAGGCGGTGGGTTACGACCGATCTTGGACCTGATCGGCACATGAAAGTACGCGTCCTTCAGGTCGATCGCTGCCAACCAATCTCGGAGCCGCTCAGGTAGACCTGCTTGCCTCTCCCTGCTTACCTCTCACTGCCAGTTGTTTTACTCTCTGACCGAGGGAACGCTTGGCACGGACGCACTGGCACACAACTGACCGCGGGGCCTGCGCAATATGCGTTTCCCCCAGTGAGCCTTCTCGCGCAGACACTCTGCAAAGTCAGGGAGGACGAGGAGCAGGTCCTGCTTGTGGGGCCTTACTGGCCCACTCGGACCTGGTTCCCAGAACTAATGCTCCTCGTGACAGCCCCTCCCTGGCAGATTCCTCTGAGGAAGGATCTACTGACTGTGCACCCTGTGGCACCCGCGTCCAGACCTCTGGAGACTTCATGTCTGGTCCCTGGATGGGACGCAGAGGTTCTAGGTGACCTACCCCAAGAGGTAGTTGACACATTTCACTTCAGCGCGAGCTCCGTCTACGAGACACGCTTACGCCTTGAAGTGGAACCTGTTCGTTGAGTGGTGTTCTTCTCACCGAGAAGACCCCGGAGATGCTCGATCAGAGTCGTGCTTTCCTTTTTGCAGCAAGGTTTGGAGCGAAGGCTGTCTCCCTCCACCCTTAAAGTCCATGTTGCTGCGATCGCTGCTAACCATGACCTTGTGGAGCAGAAGTCCTGACCTGGTCACCAGGTTCCTTAGGGGGGCGAGAAGGTTGAATCCTCCTCAGCCTCCCTCTATATCCTCTTGGTACCTGTCTCTAATGCTCAGAGCACTACAGCAGGGCCAATTTAAGCCCTTGCAGTCAGTCGAGCTAAAGTTTCTTTCAATGAAAACTCTGCTTCTGATTGCATTGGCCCCCATCAAGAGGGTAGGGGACCTGCATGCATTTTTGGTCGATGAATCGTGCCTAGAGTTTTGGCCGGCTGACTCCCAGGTAATCCTGAGGCCCCGGCCCGGCTACGTGCCCAAGGTTCCTACTACCCCCTTCAGTGGTCAGGTAGTGAACCTGCAAGCGCTGCCCCCGTAGGAGGCAGACCCAGCCCTAGCTTTGCTCTGTCCTGTCTGCGCCTTGAGATGGTACGTGGACCGGACACAAAGCTTCAGGACCTCAGATCAGCTCTTTGTCTGTTACGGAGACCGGCAGAAGGGGAATGCCATCTCTAAGCAGAGGATGGCCCACTGGATAGTGGATGCCATCACCCTGGCTTATCAGGAATAGGCTGTGCCCTGCCCGCTTAGGTTGCAAGCTCACTCTACTAGAAGTGTTGCATCCTCTTGGGCGCTGGCTCGTGGTGCCTCGCTGACAGATATTTGTAGAGCTGCGGGCTGGGTGACCCCCAACATGTTCACTATGTTCTATAGCCTTCGTGTTGAGCCGGTATCCTCCTGTGTCACCTCAAACGGGTAGAGGCACTGAGAGGCCCCGGTTTAGTGTTGGCTTGCTAAAATTGCTCCAGAGTGTACGTACTGTAGACCCTGTCGAGCTCCTCCATCCCCTCGGCAGCCAGACGTGGCGGTATGTAGAGACGTAAGTGGATCCCATATGTGTAAATTCCACGGTATAGCCTTAGAGCCCGTGTTTCCCCTGCAGACTTCTGCCATTTTCCAAGAGGGTTACAATCACCTCTAAATCTTCCATATGCACCTAAACGGTTATCCATATGTGGAATGCCAGGTGGAACAGGTACGTTTTCCCAGTGTTATCCAATCTCACTGAGTGGGTAGTGCTACGACAACAGTGGCTGGCCTTGTTGCGAGCCCCGGCCTACATGAAAAGGGGGTGCAGGTGGCTCGCACAGGACACTGGAAGGGGCAGCACCCGTGGCGCTTTGGTAGGGATCCCAATTCGTCGGTCATCGACGTGACTTGGTGTGACTGACTGAAAGAGAACGTCTTGGTTACGTATGTAACCCTCGTTCCCTGAAGGAGGGAACGGAGATGTCATGTCCCGTCGCCACGGCTGCTGTACTACCGCTGGGCGGCGGGGTTACCGGCTCAGCTCCTCAGCGAAAACCTGGTATGCGTTGCACCTGCTGCCTATTTATGCTCGCACTGTCATCAGCGGCAGCTGGATGCAGTCATCACATGCCAATGTGCATTGACTCGTTTAGTTTACACTCGAAGTAGATTGGTCTCTCGAAGCGATTCCCTCCTTCAGGGAACGAGGGTTACATACGTAACCAAGACATTGCATATTTACAGTATACTATTCAAACATTTGGGGTCAACATGATATGGTTTTAAAAACAGTAAAGTATTACTGTTTTAAAAGTATTCAATATTATTTATTTATGTGATGGAAAAGCTGAATTTTCAGCTGAATTACTCTAGTCTTCGGTGTCCCCTTCAGTGTTCCCTTATTTTTGAGCTCTGACATTGTTTCTCATGACTTGGCAAGACTGCAGCACTAAACAATATTTAGAGAGAGCAGCGTTGCATCACATTAAAATGGTGACCTGCTAACAGAAAAGCTAGATATAAAAGAATGATGATCAAAAACGGTAAGGGGCTTGAAACTAGGTCAATGTCACATTTCTTTTCTTCAGCAAAAGTCAGTCATTAATATATGGTTGCTCAACTGCAAGCAGTTTGAAATCGCAGTTTGCCTTGGAAGGCACAAGAATAGACTTTGTATGGCAAACATTTAATACGAAGGCTCATATTGCTGGCACAGCATGTTGACCGATAGTGAGTAATTTGTGCCCTTGTTTGGCCCATTGGGATGTTTGCTCAAGCTGTTTCAGCTGTATAACACTCTCTTTCTTGAAGATATTGACCCATGGCCTGCAATTCTAATATCTACTATGCATATGCTTCTATTATTATAAATGATCAGTTCTGAAATGGTGGAAGAGCCAGCAAAAGTTTTATTTTCCTCAGTTTTCTTCACGTTTTCTCTAAAGACTTGTATCTCTCAAGGCAATCTTTATTTAGCTATGATTGTGTGCTGACAGCTAAACAGCATGTCTGAAAGCGTTTGGTTTTGACCCGTCAGCACCTGCCTTTGAATGGCGGAGAATGTTGCATTTCTTGAAAGTTCAGTTGCTTTTCTTTTGTTGTTGAAATTGAGCAGCATTATGAACTTTGACCTTGTTTTGATGAAATGTGAAAATCTCTTCAGGAATCATGCTGTTTTTTGGTGAATGATCTCTTAATGATATACGCAATGAGTTTGACACGTTAATAAGTACGCTGTCTCTCTCGGCAGGTTGATGAACACTGAAAACACCCTGCTGCAGACGCGTGAAGAGGAGGGAGTGACGTATGAGCGGACGCTGGTGGCCTCAGAGTTTATAGACTGGCTCCTGCAGGAAGGTGAAATGCCCACCAGAGAGGAGGCTGAGCGGTTGGGACGCAGATTGCTGGAGCATGGCATCATTCAGCATGGTGAGCAAAGCACATGGGTAGAATAGATTCATGCAGCATACACCTTATTCTTTGATGAAGAGTGCCCTCCCTGATGTACATAACAGAAAAATTTCGGAGATCACTAATAAAAATGCTTCAGTTTTGCGTTTTTTCTCTTTTATTATGCATATTACCATAACAAGATTTAATATGGCCATAAACATTTCTTATTTGTTAATTTCCATTACTGAAATTGAATAATGACAGTCGTATGTTCTACTGAGTACAACAAATTTGTCAGCGATCTTTTTTGCATTCAGAGGAACATGTTACTCTCATCACAACATTAGTGTGACTCCTGGATATTTTCAAAGGCGTGCAATGATAATCACAAGAAATTTTTTTTTTTTTACATTTTGGCTTTTTTTCTGGCATGCAACAAGAAAATAAGTAAATAAGCATTATAATTTTTTTGTTTTGTTTTTGTTTTTTAAAGAAACTTAAAAAATAAAATGTCAAAGATTTTATATATATATTTTTTAATTATTCACTTATATAAATGGTTATATATATAACTATTTATTGTTATTTGGTAATGTTTATTAAAAATGTATTTTCTTTTGTGTGTGTGTGTGTGTGTGTGTGTGTGTGTGTGTGTGTGTAGGTCAATATAACTAAAAATCAGATAATTTAACTTTTTTTATAATAAGGCAAGATTAGATTTTAGGTTGAAAAATGTCATGTAGTGTGACTTCCCAAAAACCGTCATGACATATATAAAACAATGCATTTTACCTTTTCTTTAAATAAACATTAAGATGCACTCATCGTGTATTAAAGGTGTAATGAAAATGTTATTGCTTCTTACTTTATAGTTACACAACATGAGATTTTTATATTACATTAAATGAAACCTTTCTTGAAAAAAAAAAAGTTTGGATAACTAAAATGCACTAAATCAAACTTTCATTTGGTCATTTAAATTGAACATAACTTTAAAGGTATGGACCTACTGATCCAAAGTCACTGATTGACATTGTTTTAGATGGCATTGTTCCTGAATTTAAGTTCATGGTTTGCTGCATGAACTTAAAGAGATGATCTGTTATCATTTATGACAGATTATTAACAATGTTGATAACCAAACCGTTTCTACTCCCCATGGCCAACAAGTGTTTGGATATCCACATTTTTCAAAATATCTTCTTCTGTGTTCATCAGAAGAAAAAAAATTATACAGGTTTAGAACGACATGAGGGTGAGTAAATGATGACAGAATTTTCACTTTTGGTAAACTATCCCTTTAATACTGTTTATTTGATCATTGATTTGTAGTCTAATTTGCTCATCATGACATGCATCATCCTTTAATATATATATGCATTCAAGAAAATGTGCAGTATTACATTTATTTGTGTTATTAAATATGACAAGGGGTGATTGGTGGAGTCATGATTCAACAAGAGGAAAGACTCTTTGATGGTCAGCAACAGATGGACATACCTCTGACCAGGCAACAGCCAAACACAGCGTGACACACTAGAACACATCTACACAAAAGGATTTACATGCATAAACAACAGCCGTATACACACACCCAATACAGACCTGTGCACACACACAAATAGTGGCTACCACAGAACAGAGCTATACCCTTCAGTTTAGTCACACACACCCAACAGTCACATGCACAGCAGCACAATCAGAGCCCTGTTGAGTCTGATACAGTGTCTTTGTTTGACAGCACCTTTCCTGTCTGATTTCTGCTGACTTTGAGAAATCTGCCAAAGGCATCACAGACTGCCTCGTCTGACCTCTCCCTCTGCACAGAATTTTTTTTTTTTACATTAAATTAAATTGAGACAAACTTTCAACACAATTAAGTTAAGCCTTAAAAAACAACAACAATAAAAAAAAAACATTTAACATACCTTAAATCTAAATAGTTTGGCCTACTAGATGCAATGGATTTTTTCCCCCAAGTAATTAAATGCTTTTAATTTATACATAATGCATATAATGTATAATATCATTACCCCCTTTTTTATTTATTAATTTGTTTAATTTCCTTTTTTTTTTTTTTTTTTTGGCAACTGATACATATTTTCAGGTGTGCAACAAGAAATAAATGCACCATTTTTAATTGCATTAATTTAATACATAACATCAATTATTATTAAAAAAATGTCATTTTTTTTAATTAAATATGAACATTTTTAAATAAGTCACTGTTCACTATCAGTCCTTATTCCTAAACTCCTCAACAACATGCTTATTTCTCAGCTTAAATAAATGCACACTTGCCAACTGAATCAGTGTCTCTCTCTCTCTATTATATTCATAGAAAAACCACACCATTACTGAACAAAGGTTTTGCCCTGACTTGAATTTAGCTGACACATTTGGATACAGTCAACACAAATCAGATCATGACAGGGCATCCTGGGAAATCTGCTGTTTTAAACCAACAAATCAGTGAAAAAACCTGGAGATGAATTATTATTTTTTTGCCTAGGGCAGTAGGGCAAAGGATACGGTAGAGATGAAAGGAGGAAAGAAAAGTAGGCTTTCAGCCTTTCTTGCTGTTATGCCACTTCTGGCCCCTCTCAGCCTCTAGCTGTTAGCAGAGAGAGGCCCCCTGACATGAAGTTGTGTAACTGGAAGTGTTGAGCTTGACTGTGACTCTGCACTGTCGAGAGGCATGTGTAAATCTGTTGTCAGTGTTTCACAGCCAGTGAAAGTTGCACTGCACAGTTGTACGATGAATGATGAAGCATGACAAGTTACACAAATGAACTCATTCCCCCTCTGTTAGGCACAGCAGTGATCTCCACAACCAGAAAGCATGTTCTCTGCTTTTCCTGCATTTGCTTGTGGGTTGGCTGTGGATGTATGTGCTCAGCTGTATGTGTGGGAGTTTTGTTCAGGAGGACACAGTGAGTGGAGAGTTTAGTTGATTGAAAACACCATTTTTAGCATGATTTGGGCTAAAGAAGCTACCTTTATGATACTATTTTAATGAGCTATTAATGCTGAGTTATGTCCATTAAATAATCTATGTTCATTTAATTTTCATAGAAATTCTGATTGAAAAGACTGATCTATATTTTTCACCCATTTCATCAGTGTTACAAAAGTGCTTGTTCTGCTTCAGATTAACCCAGTGTTGAACGTTTTTTATTTTTCGCATACATATTTGATCCTGGACCACAAAACCAGTCATAAGTAGCACGGGTATATTTGTAGCAATAGCCAACAATACATTGTATGGGTCAAAATTATAGATTTTTCTTTTATGCCAAAAATCATTAGTATATTAAGTAAAGATCATGTTCCTTGAAGATATTTAGTAAATTTCCTACCATAAATATATCAAAACTTAATTTTTGATTAGTAATGTGCATTACTAAGGACTTAATTAGGACAACTTTAAAGGCGATTTTCTCAATATTTTGATTTTTTTTGGCACCCTTAGATTCCAGATTTTGAAGTAGTTGTATCTCAGCCAAATATTGTCCTATCCTAACAAACCATACATTAATGGAAAGCTTATTTATTCAGAAAAATTGACCCTTATGACTGGTTTTGTGGTCCAGGGTCACATATTATATTTGATGAAGTGCAGTGAAATGGTTTTCCCTAGTTCGCACAGTGCACATCTGTTTCCAACATTAATAAAAAGTCAGCATATTAGAATGATTTCTGAAGGAAATTATATATACACTAACTCCACCCACCAACGTGTGATTGGGGTAGTCAACACTATAAAAGACTATTATCAAACAACGGCTCCAGTGGTGTAGGTGGTAAAGTGCGTGCCGTGGTCCTTTTGACACAATTGACCTGAGTTCGAATCCACCTTTTGCCGAACTTTATCACTTAGGAAAGGCATTTATTTCCAATAAAAATGAAGTAAATAATCAAAAAGTTAAAAATAAAGTATCGGGTAGGGTTAGGGTAGGCATAGGAAGGGGTTTATTGTCCCAATAAGGTGGCATCCATTTAATAATTTGAATTAAAATGATAATTTACACTCAATACTTATTGCATACTGTTTTATAATGTACAATACTGAGATACAGTTAATTGCCACTATTTGCAATAAGTAGAATAAATAGCAGAAAATCCTGTTATTTTAACATAGTGTAAATAGAATCTATAGCTATTTGCACTTAGTGTAAATGGCATCTATCGCTAAGAAACTATGCTATTTTCACTTAGTGTTTTTAATAAAAATCATTAAAAATCTTTGAAAAACTGATCCTAAACTCTTGAACGGTAGGGTATATGTCATTTTTATTTTGCCTTTTGATATTTATTTGTCAATTTATATGTAATGTCATTTTTTATTTTATATTTTTCTGTACTTTTATATCTCTGTATGTGCCATAAAATTGCAAACTGTGGCCATGTTACATGAGTAAGCAGAAAAATGGACCAGGCTTTTTGCATACAGGCAAAACACTTGTTCTGCTAGACTAGCCATGTAGTGATAGTCAGACAATGAGTTAGTGTTTAGCTCATTTAGCTCAGCTCTCTCCCACACACATTTATCTGCATTCCTCTGCACCACAAATCATATGCATCCACTATGCTTCACTGCCCATAACATATCCGATTGATTTTGCTTGTTTTAAAGGAATAGTTTACCCAAAAATGAAAATTTTGTCCTCATTTACTCACCCTCATGTCGTTCCAAACATGTATAAGTTTCTTTCTTATGCTGAACACAAAAGAAAATATTTTGACGAACCAAACAGTTGTTGGTCCCCATTGACTTTCATAGTAGGTAATGATTTTTGGCATAAAAGAAACATTTATAATTTTGACCCATACAATGTTTTTTTGGCTATTGCTAAAAATATACCCAAGCGACTTAAGACTGGTTTTGTGGTCGAGGGTCACATATCTTCTTGTATGTTTAACAAAAGAATGAAACTCATACAGGTTGGGAACAACATGAGGGTGAGTAAATGATTACAAAATTTTCATTTTTGGGTGAACTATTCCTTTAAATCCTTTTTCCAGTTTTTAGAAATCTCAATATTTTATTGAGTGTTAGGAGTTTAGGATTGCTCTCTATTGATTCTAAGATGGCATGTGCACCTCTTACACAAACACCCTCAATCTCGCATACTGCACTTAAGACTTGGTTAAACTTGGTTTTCCTGCTTCTAGCAAAAAAAAAAAAAAAAATATATATATAATTAAATAAATAAATAATAAGAAGGGATTTCAGCTTTTTCTGCTATTGTGCAACTTCTGCCTAATTAATGAAATGAAATATAAATATATATGTTAATAAATATTATGTTTTTCTTCAATTAAAAAAAAAAGCCTTGAAGGTGAAATCCAAAATATTAATATTGTGTTGAGTTTTGTATTTATTTTGTCTTTCACTTCTAGATTTTGGACCATTGTGGCTTGACTGGTCACGTCTTTAATCCCAGTAAACTGACATATGACCTCCTCTCGTTGTGCATTTCTTATTTTTCCCCCTAGTTTCTAATAAGCACCATTTTGTGGATGGCGGACTGCTTTACCAATTCAGGATGAATTTCCGGCGGCGACGGCGGCTGATGGAGCTTTTGAACGAGCGTTTTCGCAGCATACCGGAGAACCACGACAGCCCTTTCTGTCTGCGCAAACAGGGCTCTGAGGGGGGAAACACCAGCTTCCTTTCAGGTTAGTCCACAATCATAAAGGAAATCTGCAGAATGCATGCACAACTGTGTTCATTACATCCAGTAGTTTGTGATATTGATTTTTAGGTTTAGCAGACACAGCTGTGGTCATTCACAGTGGCAGGTAGACAATGAACTTCTGGATGTGGTCTCATGCATTTTAATTTGCTGCTGATGCAGTGCACGGGTAGATAATGAAGATAGGACAACCAAAATCAATTTCAACGTAATAAGGAAGTTGCTGAAATGACAAATCTTGAGCACACATGTTGTGAAAGAGTGGAAAACATCGCATTCAGTTTGAAGTGTCATATTTGTGTACAAACATCTAATAAGCTAAAATGAGATGTACTTTTGTCCGCTGATTTAAATAATGTTTACTTTTTTTTAATTTAAAATATTTAACTGATTTATTGTATGATATGTAAGCATATAAGCAAATAAATCACAGTGAATTGCATATATCAATATTTCCTGACAAAATCCCCTAAATGAAGATTATTCATAGACAAATGCATTTTTATGTTATACTTTATTATCAAATTATTAATGTTAACAACATCAGCATTGCGTGACTGAGTATAGTGTGTGTAGATTTCAATTTCTGTACAGTCTAATATCTCATTTTCATACCATTCGAATTTCATACCAAGAAATTATTTTAACCCAAAAGGCAAATTATGCTCCCTTCGAACTGGTTGTCTTTAAAATACAAATCTTGTGTAATCCCAGGCTATCTGTAATCAGAAGCACATTTAAAACTGGAATATAATTTAATTTCATTCACATGTTTAATAAACACATAATCCTTTCTGGATTACAATCCGCAATCAAAATGGTACATTTAATTATAGCTGCTGTGAGAAAAGGCTATAAACGATCGGCCACCTGCAGCATCCTCACATGCGATAGTCTAGTAGTCGGGAAAACTTCTTTATGTTTACAGACGTGACGTAATGACGCAGCAGCATGCTCAAAATTCCCGCGAAAACCTACCCGTACCACTCAAATTAGAAAAAATTATTTATAAGCTAACCGATGTGAATTGGGCTAAAGTAAGGCGATAGTTTTGAACACTGGATGGTTATGTACTTGCTCAAATATTGCTTTCGGATCATTTTTAACCAAAAAAAGTTACGGACTGCAGCTTTAACTTTTGTTTAGATTTACAACATTTAGATTCATGCTAGTATTATACTAGACAAAGCTAGAATATAGCCCTTAATCATGTTGAATAATGAATTACAGTAAATGTAAACTCAGATTCAGTTTCAGATCAAGTGTTTTTTTACAGTGTTGGCCTGTAGATTCAGTATCATGCTGTCATGAGTCAGTAGAGGAAGTTAGCTCAGTGTGTCTTGGGACTGGGCCTCTCTGGTTCCTCTTCTCAGAGCTGAATAAAATATGAACTGTCATTTTTCATGCGCCTGTGGTGTGTGTATTATATGTATGGTGTGCCTTTGTTTAAACATATGCAAGTGTGTAAATTCAAGTTTTATAACTACCAGTCAGGTTGATTAGCACACAACACTTTTTCTTTTTTATCGCATGTTTTGATGGCAATATAATCAGTGTTTTTTTTTCTGACAACAGTGCAATTTATTTATTAATTATTTGCACTTATTTATAATTTCACAATGATATTACTCAAAATAAATACAATAATGAAAAAACAATGATGAATAAAAATATGATGGAATTCTTTTTTTATTTATTTTCTTATTTATATTTATTTATTTAATTATTTAGTTATATACTGAAATAAAAATGTATAATTATATGATACAATTTTAAATAAAGCATTTTCAATTGACCAGTGATTAGCCATTTGTTTAATTAATGTTTAAAAGGACTTACATTTCTATGAATAAATAAACAAAGAATAAATAAACAAGAAATATGACTTTTATCAGTTTGAAAGGTTGATTTATATACATTTTCATATATATTTTATAGACATTGTACAGTGGTGTGAAAAAGTGTTGGCCCCGTTCCTGATTTCTTATTTTTTTGCATGTTTGTGCAGGACAATGATCCAAAACACACCAGCAAGTCCACCTCTGAATGGCTGAAGAAAAACAAAATGAAAACTTTGGAGTGGCCTAGTCAAAGTTCTGACCTGAATCCTGTTGAGATGCTGTGGCATGATGTTTGATGATCTGAAACATTAAAGTGTGACAAACATGCAAAAAAATAAGAAATCAGGATTACACAAATCCAAAATAAGATTTTGTTTACATAATATGTGTGTATACTGTGTATATTTACTTTTATTTTGGATGCGATTAATCACGATTAATCGTTTGACAGTACAAATTTTTTTAATTATAAAAATGTGAAGAGTGGTATTGTTAGCATTTATCTATAATTAGCTCTATACACTCTCAGAAAAAAAGGTACAAAGTCTGTCACCGTGGCAGTACCTTCTCAAAAAGTACATTTTTGTACCTTTTAGGTATAAATATGTACACTTTAGGTACTTATATGTGCCTTTAAAACACCAATATGGACCCTTCAGGTACAAAGATGTACCTTTTGAATAGGTACCATCTCAGTGACAGCTTTTTAACCTTTTTTTCAGAGCGTGTATATAGCTAGAAGTCTAATGTATGTCTATTTTGATAGCTAGCTAAACGTGTGTATGTGTGTGTGTTCGTGCGTGATGCTGTTTGCCATACAATACGTTTATGTTAAAAGGAGAACACTAACAGATGTTAGGCATCTGAACTGTTATTTCAGTTAGTAAATGCACACAAAACGGATGTTGACATACCATAACATTATCACCACTGCACAAGCACTATTGGAATGATGTTTTGAGCTGGCAGAAGTGTTGCGTGTGTATTTTAACTGAATTCTATTCTCTCTCTCGCTTCCTCTTGTACAGACTCTATCTAACCTTATTTCTTCCTTTCTCAATCTCCTTCCCCTCAGTAAGCCCCACTAAAGAGATAAAGGTGGTGTCAGCAGTACGGCGGAGCAGTATGAGCAGTAGTTGTGGCAGCAGCGGTTATTATAGCAGCAGCCCCACACTCAGCAGCAGCCCCCCTGTGCTCTGCAACCCAAAGTCTGGTAAGAAAAGCCCCCTTCTGTGCTCAAACATCCCACATACATCAACTAATTTGGGCATTTCAGCATAAAAAATGACACACGTCATCTTTAAGGTCATCAGGTCAGTTTTGATGTCTTGTTGTCTTTACATTTCTCAACCTTCACGTTTACATTAGCAAACCAGTTAGCATTAGCTTTAGCACTTATTTTTTACACCATCTCTGCTCTCTTTTTATGGTTAAATAAAATGGGCTGGCTTTTTATAGCACCAAAACACTGTGCATTTCTCAAGCCGCAGACAACTTACTGAGATTCTGTAAACCATATGCTGCTCTTTGTGGGCTTTTAGGTTTTCGAATTGCTAAGGATGCTAAGAGTTTTGCTTGTGGTGTGTTTAGGGTTGCCAACTGTCCCGTATTAGCCGGGACGTCCTGTATTTTGGGCCTAATTGATTTGTCCCGTACGTGACATCCCTTGTCCCGTTTTTTGACTGCTATGCTGATCTAACCACTGACTGATACAACAGCAGCAGTGCTGATCACTTGAGAATGATCACCGTTACCTGTCATCATCCAATCACAGCCCCCCTCACGCAGTATACGTTAAGTAAATCAGAAATCGTGAACATAACTGTTCGAGGAAGGCTGCGCAATCCTCTGCCGGCTCGTCACTCCCGCCTCACAGCAAGCCAATTCCGTCCGTGTTTTCACTTTAGTAAATCAGTTTTGGTGAATACAAACGACGTGATTATTTTTCATGAGTCCAACATCCTGCCGCGCAAGAGACGTGACCAGACGAGACGTAAGGGAAGTCGTCTTTCACTATTGTAATGTTGTTAAATAGAGAAAAACATTTTATATTTAAGTTACTAATAGCATAATTCTTAACCTTGGACCTTATTCTTGAAACACAAAATGACCAATAAAAAGGTGTCAAGCACCAATAATAGCAGCCCATATTAAATCTATAAGCTGTCTTTAATTGAAAAATACGCATTTTCATGCATACTATATGTGTGTGTGTGTGTGTGTGTGTACACGGTCACTTGTTTCCTAAAAAGAAGAAAAATAAAGACTGACATCTTTATTTAACCTAAATCTGTAATTACAGTTATTTAATTTTAGTTATATAATTCATATACATATCATTTATATCATTTCATATCATGTATTTATATCATTTCATATACATAATTTGATTTAATAATATCCCAATTTGAAGCAAAAACAGAATGTTCTGACTAGCTTTGTGAAATACTACATGCCTGAACGAAGCAAACAGGAGATGCTCTGAATGAGACGCATTTTCACTCTCTGACAGCAGGAGGCGCTTCTGGAACACCAGATACAGTGTTTCTTTGGTTACCGCTGTAAACAAAGCAACACTGCGCTGAAACACTGCTTTAATATGAACTATACAGAGAAGATTAAAAGAAAATACCACACAAACTTTTCTGAAGACAGTCAGTTCCCCTCAGAAACGCATTCATATAAACCCCCAAATCAATATTGAGGATTTTCTTCCAATAGTTCGTGCATCATGAACAGTGAGTGATCTGCCTGCTACAGTATTTTTCTCTGTGCGTCCATCTTCAGCGTCTCTGGCCTGTGTTAACGGGCGTTTACAGACTTCATACTTTCACATAAATGACATTGTGGAAAACGATTGCATTGCAACGCAGTTTGTGCAAGTCCAGAACAGAGATGAGTTGCTTGCAATAAGACAAAAAACGTCCGGTTGCCGATCGCGTAAGTTCCAGGGGAAGCTCCTTCAGTCGTCCTACACACACGTGACTGACCGCTTGCTCGCACCAACAGGAGGAGGAGGGTCGTGTTACTCTCTACACTGCACTCAACCTGAGGGATTCCTACACTTTCAGTCTTCGAGGAGACATGAAAAACAGCGCATACCGCAGCAACGGTATAACGGAAAATATTAGCGTGAAACCGTGAAAATTTCAAATCGCGGTATACCTTGAAACCGGTAATCGGCCCATGCCTATCAGCAACCCTAGGTGTGTTACTGTTTCTTTAACAGAACATGCTGTGTAGAGCGTGTCATGTATCTGCAGCAGATACAGTAGACGTCTAATGTGTTTCTAAAGAGCTCTGTGGGTTAGTCAGAAGGTTGTGTGTTTGTGTGCTTTCGGGCCATAAAGCCACATCAGCCAGTTGTCCCTCTGTTCCTTTTGGCCTTCCTCCACTGTAATTGTGCTTGTTAACAGTAATTCTAAGTGGCGTCGGCCGTGTAGTTCCCATGAACTTTTTCACCCCTCTGACAGAGATTCTCCTTGTTAACTTGTACCAGCAGAATGAGTTAACAAGATTATATTTAATGTAGTAGTTCACACGGAAGATAAATAGTTCAGAATTTCCTTGGTATTATAACAGTGTGGTCATATTTACCATTGCTCTGTGAAATTTTGTGGGCTAAATCCAGTCATTTCAATAGAAATCTGCAGGAGTTTCATGTGAGGGCGAAAAGATTCCCTACACAGATTTCGCTTGTTGGTCATGCGCATTCGACACTTTGACCAACAGAAAGCTGGTTTGTTTTAAAAAGTGACTACTGTGTGAGTGATTCTACACTATTGCTATTCAACAATGGACCTTTTTTCCTGCAAAATATTACAGGAATTTCTCTAATATGGCCACACCTTAACTGCTGAGAGCTTTGTTCTAAATGTACACATTAAAGCCCAAAGTATACTTCAGTTTTGACTTTGTTTATACGTACAGTCAGGCACATAGCCTTTCAAAATGTACTCCACTTGATAGATTGCACAAACAGAAGAGGTTGGACAATCTAAAATCTTAATCATTATTCTTTGTTATACTATGGAGCTGTTGAAAACTTGAATCTGATTGGTTGACGAACATTCTAAGGTGTGCAATTATTTTCAGGGAAATATACGGCTAAAGTAGTTCCAGGCAGGTCTTGACCGCATTACATGTCCATATCAATTCGCCAAATGATTTCAGTTATTTAAAAGTCTACAAGAATCTGCAACAGCAAAAGAACCAAAACCCACAACGATACTGACCAAGCAAATAAATATAGAGGATAAAAATGACAAATTATTTCCATGTTTTTGCCACAGAATTACATTTTATTATGTACGGAAAGCACATACTCTCTTTCTCCCGCTCTGTCTCCTATACAAACGTACACACATACAGTACAGACACACAATCAAACAGAAACATGTTGTCAGTGCTGCTCTGACGATTTCATCAGTAAAATACATATGATCTTAAAAACTACAGAACGTTTCTCACTAGAAACAGATTGCTATTAGTAGAGATGCTGCTGCACTGTTGAGAGACACACAAACTCACAGAGGTAATTCACACACACTTAATCTCTCTCTCTCTCTGTCACACCCCTGTGGACTGTTGATTGTGGTCTCTCCCTCTGTGTCCTTATTTGGTTGTTCCTGTTCTCATTATTAGTTAATCACCTCATTGTGCTCACCTGTCTGCCCCTCGTTATCTGCCCTATATCTGTTCCTGTCTCTTGTATTCGAGTTTGTCGGTTATTGTGAATGTTGATGTCTACCCTGTCTGAATTCCCTGTTGTCAAGTCATTAAATATCCGTTTATTCGTCATCTTCGTCTTCCTGCCTGGTCTCTGGAACACCCTGCCCGTGACAGAATAACCGACCTCAAAAACAGTTTAAATTCCGTGTTGCCCTTCCGTTTGTTTTCCGGTTTTTCCTCAGTGTTTTTCTTTCCGTTGTGTCCCGGGACGGGCTCCCGATCCCCAGTTCCGCCCGGGACGGGCTCCCGATCCCCAGTTCCGCCCGGGACGGGCTCCCGATCCCCAGTTCCGCCCGGGACGGGCTCCCGATCCCCAGTTCCGCCCGGGACGGGCTCCCGATCCCCAGTTCCGCCCGGGACGGGCTCCCGATCCCCAGTTCCGCCCGGGACGGGCTCCCGATCCCCAGTTCCGCCCGGGACGGGCTCCCGATCCCCAGTTCCGCCCGGGACGGGCTCCCGATCCCCAGTTCCGCCCGGGAAGGGCTCCCGAGCCCCAGTTCCGCCCGGGAAGGGCTCCCGAGCCCCAGTTCCGCCCGGGAAGGGCTCCCGAGCCCCAGTTCCGCCCGGGAAGGGCTCCCGAGCCCCAGTTCCGCCCGGGAAGGGCTCCCGAGCCCCAGTTCCGCCCGGGAAGGGCTCCCGATCCCCTGGCGAGCCCGGGAAGGGCTCCCGATCCCCTGGCGAGCCCGGGAAGGGCTCCCGATTCCCTGTCGAGCCCGGGAATGGCTCCGGATTCCACGTCGAGCCCGGGACGGGCTCCTGATGCCCAGTTCCGCCCGGGACGGGCTCCTGATGCCCAGTTCCGCCCGGGACGGGCTCCTGATGCCCAGTTCCGCCCGGGACGGGCTCCTGATGCCCAGTTCCGCCCGGGACGGGCTCCTGATGCCCAGTTCCGCCCGGGACGGGCTCCTGATGCCCAGTTCCGCCCGGGACGGGCTCCAGTTCAGCCCGGGAAGGGCTCCTGATCCCCAGTTAAGCCCGGGAAGGGCTCCTGATTTCACGTTAAACCCGGGAAGGGCTCCTGATTCCTCGTTTAGCCCGGGAAGGGCTCCTGATCCCCAGTTAAGCCCGGGAAGGGCTCCTGATTTCTCGTTAAGCCCAGGAAGGGCTCCTGATCCCCATTTCCGCCCAGGAAGGGCTGCAGCCCAAGGGCTCGCTCCAGTGACCGCTTCTCGAAAATGCCCGCCCTCCCACTCACTCCAGCCTCCTCCACCGCTGTCGTCTGGCAGCCCCTCTGCTCGCCCTCAGCCCACCATCATTGCGGTGCGAGCCCCGCGGGACTGCCATCCTCCAGCGTCGCCGTGGTCTGAGTCTCCCTCACCTCCGCCTCCAGCCTCCGAGGCCCGGACTCCCCCTCGGTCCGTAGACCCCAGAGGAGCTCTGCCCCCTGCATCATTGCTGAGGGTGAGCTGACTATGGTGGGACATAAGGGCCAGAATATGGAGGGAATTCAGTGTCAAAACGAGGAGGAGAGACCTCGGAATCCTCAGTTTAGCCCAGGAAGGGCTCCCGATCCCCTGGCGAGCCTCGGAATGGCTCCCGATCCCCTCGCGAGCCTAGGAAGGGCTCCCGATCCCCTGGCGAGCCTCGGAATGGCTCCCGATCCCCTCGCGAGCCTAGGAAGGGCTCCCGATCCCCTGGCGAGCCTCGGAATGGCTCCCGATCCCCTCGCGAGCCTAGGAAGGGCTCCCGATCCCCTGGCGAGCCTCGGAATGGCTCTCGATCCCCTGTCGAGCCTAGGAATGGCTCGAAATGTTCCAAATTTGGAACATAACTTGGTGAGACATATGGCTTTGATTTTATAGCTATTTTAGAGTGCAACACATTTTATAAAATATTTATTTGATATAAAAAAATTGTAGACTACGTTATCTTTATTGTAAACTTCTATAACTTTTTTTTTTTTTACTTTTTTTTTTAAAATGCTTTCACTTCAGCAATAATTTGCTATGTGTCTTCTTTAAAAAGAGACCAAAAGACCATAGGTCTGTATTCCAAAGCATTCACGAATTACAACCATGTTGTAACAAGCATTGATAAGCAAGTGTTCTGTTTTCAGTGAATTTATACCCCCAAAGGGGCGACGTTTCCTAGGGGACACAAACATTAAAATAAAAAATAAGAGTCAAGTTTTGGAAAAAAAAAATCATGCAATTGTATTATTTGAGTCCCAATAAGATGGAAAATAGCAATAAATTAATTTTCTAATGTCTCTTTATGATTTTGCCCTTTTTAGGGTCAATAGCTGCATTAGTCTGCTATCAATGGCTGAAGCCTAAAATGACGTTGTGGATATAGCAACAGAGGCACAGGATGAGATGCGTAAGAAATTAATCATACATGCAAGAGCGTTTTAAGGACAAAAACCTGACGAATGTTTTGAAATACATTATCTGAATAATGTCTTTAGATGTGGTAACCGTAGTATAAGCATAATAATTTACTCTGGTCCATTTAATTATTAGTCGTGGCCACATTACCACCTCTGGTGTGCATTATTTTCTAATAATTCAGGGGCCCATGGTTAGTTACTCCATAATGTTTCCCTCCACCAAAGCTCCAAAATGTACTATCAAAGTGTTATGGGGTTCAATTATGGTACAACAATGCCATTTGACGCAAAACATGAGTGTGTCGATTGTATGGCTTCAGTAGGAGTTCTATATATAATATTTGTAATAGAAAATTTCTCCTTTTGTGCTCATCAAGATAAAAAGTCTTACATCTTAAGAACGAGTAAATGATGACAGACTTTCCAGTTTTGGATGAGCAATACCTTTATCGCTCATTATATTCAAGCTCCTCTCAGAATGAGTAAGTGCGTTAATCTTGATTACTTGATGATGCTGTCTATCACCACCCAGTGTCTAATAACAAATAAATCTAAGAAAAATCTATCAGAACAGATTGTAACATGCATTTTCTCTTTACCCTTATTTTACTATATCTCAATCTGTTTTATCCAGCTGTAGCTCCCTTCTGAGTGAGTGTTTGTGTGTGGAGTAGTAAACTCTCTGACCCATAAAAACTCTCAGGCTGAGAACTTTGAACAGTTAGTAGTACATGAGTAGTGTGTGTGTGTATGAGAGAGTCTGGCAAGAACACATCATCCCCTTCAGGACAGGCAAGGAGCACAGTCAGCAGGCAGAGAGACCGAAGAACATTTTATACACGCACAAACCCAGCGCTCTCCTCCTCCACCACCAAATTAGAACATTGGCCTCCAAGGCGAGCCTGAAGCATGCCTGCAATGAAGCATTCCACACCTATCACATGACTCAGCTTTCACTTTACCACAGCACAGCTCCCGCTCCGCTACAGTGAGGCCCACCGTTAAAACCAGACTTGTTTTTTGTCCAACAACAACGCAGATCCAAAATGCAATCTGTCATCAGAGCATTTAACGTTATAACATGTTGTACATTTTGAATTTATGAGGAAAATAGGCTGCTTTTCCAGATGTTGTGCCTTAATGCTTGTGTGTTTTACACAAAACACCGGTGTGTAAGGAGACGAGAATGTTCTGGGTTTGGCAGGGCTGTTGCATGCCTCTGATTGGTCAATTTGCTCATCCAATCCTGGGATTACTGAGCTCTCCTCCCAAAATTGGATGAGAACAAAATGTGAAAAAACAGTGAGGCCTGATACATCTACTTATGCACTTTTTTTGTCTCTCTCTCTCTCTCTCTCTCTCTCTCTCTCTCTCTCTCTCTCAATCCTTTTTCCCTGCGTTAAAAAGGCTGTGGCATTGTGTGTGAAAGGTTTCAGGCATGTACAGAATGACTTTGAAAGGGAAATGGACAGTTCATAGTTAAGAAAATACATGGCCTTGTGTTCCCTATATTGCACACATACAGATAATATTATGAAACAATGAAGGATGGTTCACTTTAAAACAAACACCTGTCCTTGTTTACTCACCTTAATATCATTCTTAGTTTGCATGCTTTTAATTTTTTTCAGTGTTTAATTTTTTCAGTGTAAACGCAAGAATACAAATGTGACCCTGGACCACAAAACCAGTCTTAAGTCGCTTATCAAAACTTAATTTTTGATTCATAATATGCATTGCTAAGAACTTCATTTGGATAACTTTAAAGGCGATTTTCTCAATATTTAGATTTTTTTTTTGCACCCTCAGATTCCAGATTTTCAAATAGTTGTATCTCGGCCAAATATTGTCCTATCCTAACAATTATCCTAACTTATTTATTCAGCTTTCAGATGATGTATAAATCTCAATTTCGAAAAATTGACCCTTATGACTGGTTTTGTGGTCCAGGGTCACAAATATTAACACATTTTTTTTTATACAATGACCGTTCATAGTGATCTTGTCTGTCAAGACTCAAAATTGACAAATACACATCAAATAAGTAGTCTGTATCAAAGTTAACTTTAATTAAATGTTTTAAACCTATTTTTCTTTATTTTTTATATTGTTACAGTTTCATTATTCATTCTACTTTCTAAGTGTATATTATTAATAATGATAATTTCATTTAGTTTTTAACAAAAAATATGTATATATATTTTTTCTTTTATAAAACTTAAAATTGTCCATGTACATACGATCAGTGATCAACATGCAAGTTTCTCCTTGCCATTGATACTAACTTGTTTACTGAGGATTGCAAAGCAGTATTTTAGAAATAAGGCAATAATTACATAATTATTTGATCACATATACAGTAATATTGTAAAATATTATTACAATTGAAAATAACTTTGTTTATCTTTTAATAGAGTTTAAAATGTAATTTATTTCTTTTCAGTTTTATACATCTATCAGTAATTATCTAATAGTGGCTAAAAAAGACATGCTACAAATGAATGAATACAAAGTAAATATTTTCCAGATATTATTCGTATGGCAAGATCTGCTTAAAGATTCTTCAAAAACAGGAGAAAATATTTGAGAGAATAACAGAATACAAGTTTGGAATAAGTTTTTTTTAGAGAACTATTCGTTATAGACACTACCTTATTTGTTATTTGCAATGTCCTTGTTACTACTATAAATTGGGCTCTGATCAGCCAATCAGGATCCAGTCAATAGCTGTGCAGTTGGATCTTGCTTTTGTGACTAAGTGGTTCAGGGTTTGGCTCACTCATTACATTACTGATGGAGAGATCAGGCTGATTTGAACCTCTTGTCCTAAATTAGACCATCATTATCAACCTCATTATTTCATTAAACACAAACCTTCCTCTCTCTCGCTCTCTCTCTCTCTCTCTCTCTCTCTCTCTCTCTGAAGAAGCACATGTTGTGTTTCAAGATGGCTTTTTGTTGACTTTTTAAATGAGGGATTATGGACTGCAGTATTAAATTACAATATAAATGAATAAAGTATTACTGTATAATTAGTAGTATAATGTGCGGAGTAAAGTAATAAACCAGTAGTGAATCAAACTCAATGTTGTTGCAGTGAATAGATAAACATGATTCTTTTATACCATGTGTTAAATAGTCACATGATTTACTGTTTAGAGTTCATGACTGAGGAACATTGTGTGTATATTATTTACAGTGCTAAAGAGACAAGTGAGCCCAGAGGAACTTCAGACTCCTGGTGGACCTTACATAAAGAAGACATTCACAGTAAGTCACTTTCACACACACACACACACGTTTACTTAGCTATCTAAATGGGGACATTCCATAGGCGTAATTGTTTTTATACTGTACAAACTGTATTTTCTATCGCCCTACACCAACCCTACACCTAAACCTACCCCTTACAGGAAACTTTCTGCATTTTTACAATTAACAAAAAACTTTGTTTACTTTATTTTTATACCAGTTTTACAAATGAGGACGTCCCCAAAGGGAGGTTTTTGGAGATTTTGTCAGGTTTAGCTCACTTTTGGGTACAAATTTGTCCCCAAAATATGGTTAAGTAGGTACAAACACACACACACACACACACACACACACACACTCCTGCCAAATGTGCTCAGACTCCAAGCTCTAATTGCATAACTATGTTTGGTTCTGAGAATCCATTTGCATGGAGGGAAACAGTTCACAACTAAAAATAGCAGCGAGAGGAAGTTTTTCCTCAGATGTGGAGATGATTCTAATCCTCAACTGGATCAACAGGAAAATCCAAGAGCAATTTAGGAGACTTTGAAATTTGATACTTTGTCATCAGCTGCCATGTACCTTTCTGTTTATTGTCATTTACTACATGTTTCTTGTCATGCATTTTGAATAAACCACATCCACTAATAATGACATTTAAAATCCATATTGAACCATATTGCTCCACAACTGCAATACCACCATCTGAATAGAAGTTTTAAAATGACCAAATATATATACACAATATACAAGTATATGGCACTGTAAAAAGAAAATCAGCTAAAATAAATCAATATATTTGACATTATGCAAGTATATGTAATGCATTACATTCATTAGAAGTAAAGTAAAGTAAAATGAAATGGATATCTCAGTGTATGACCTCCAATGTGTTTGGATGTATGTGTTTGCAGATTGTGGGAGACGCAGTGGGCTGGGGATTCGTGGTGAGAGGAAGTAAACCCTGCCACATCCAGGCAGTAGACCCCGGCGGACCCGCTGCAGCAGCGGGAATGAAGGTACAGTAGTCATACTGCAAAAGGAAATTTGTTATAGTGAGAAAACAGTATGTCTCATTCTTCAGGGATGCACTAATATTGAAATTTTGACCAAACCAATAAGCCAATAATTATTTTTAACTTCTGGCCAATAACCAATAAATGGACACAACCCACTATAATGGCTCTTAAAGGGATAGTTCATGCAAAAATGAAAATGTATTCACCCTTAGGCCATTCAAGATGACTTTCTTCAGTAAAACACAAATGATGATTTTTTTTGTGAACCCATGGTCCTTGTTGATTCCTAATATGCAAGTCAATGGGTGCCGTCACTTTGAGAGTAGTGAAAACAGGTTTAGGTATAACACAAAATGAACACCTGTGGCTTCTGACAATATATTGAGGTACATATGACAATATATATATTAGAGATGCACTGATCGATTGGCCAGGGATCGGAATCGGCCGATTTTCCTCGTGATCGGCCAGGATCGGTGATCGGCCGGTCAGTCTCACTTCTTTCCGATTTCGAGCCGATCCGTTTTGTTACCAGCTGCACAGGCAATAACGTCAGCCGTGCATTCTCGCACTTTTCTCTCCGACGACCTCTTCTCTCACACACACATCTCATTCGCGCACCACCACTGATCTATATTAGTGGAGCGCACAATCCGTGCTATGTCTCAAACAGCTTGTGAGCCACAAATACCAAAATAAGTGGCTAACTGCGCTAAAACATTCAAATACATAAAAATTTGTTAAAATGCCCATCTTGGCGAGTATCCAGTTGAACACAGTCAGTTTTGGAAAGTTAAATAGTTGAGAAAGAGAACGCATGTTGTGTAACAGTATATTGGGTCCGTGGATACACTCTTAAAGGGACCGCAGTCCAATATTTATGCTGCTGTCTGTCATGTTAATCAAAGAACAAAAGACAAAAAAAATAATTTTCTGCTCTTGACTAAATATGTTTTATAAATGTGTTATTTTACATTTGATTACTTTAATTTCTGTAGTATTTCTTAACTGAATAAAAACTTACTTAACCTGAAAAACTTAGTTTCATAGCTCTCTTTATTCTATTGCATTTATTTGTGCTGTTGTTTGCAATTTTTTATTTGTTCTTATTTTATTTGATCTTTTATTTTAAAAACTGACTTTTTACTTGTGTTTTTTTTATGAAAATAAAACTCTGCGTTGAAGAAAAGTAGATTTTTGTTTGTATATGCTGTCAATTATAGTTCTTAGAAAGAAAATCGGAACCTGCAAAAATCGGCATCGGCAGATCACACACACAAAAAAAAAAAAA